AGGATTAGGTTACAGACATTTTGGAGGTGACTGGTGTCTTCTACCCCATCACGTTCAGCTATAGACAGGATGCCCTGCCGGCTGCGCTTCTTGACATTATTGCATGTTTGCTGTGGAGACGTGTCCTCTTGTCTCCAAAATTCCCTAACATCAAATACGTCACCTTACCCCTCTTGGCTCAGCAAATCTCCACTTCCTATTTTTTTTTTTGTCCAGACAGACACATCATTTTCTCCACAGCCCCCCCTCAGGGCTATCTTTGACCTTACAAGCTCCTTCCTTTCCCTGACACCGCCCACCCACTCACCCACCCTTCACATGAGTCACCAAATCTCTGTCTCACAGTCCCAGAGCAGAAGGGAAACTTCTCATTTCCCTCCTCACTTCCCAGGGATGAGGATAAGCTCTAGAGAGGCATGGGTGTGACCTGGCTGCTCAGGGCAAAGCAGGACAACAGTCCAGGCTGCTGCCACCTACCCCACCACGCTGACCACGCAGGTGACAGAAGTAGATGCTCCACCCATCAAGAGCTCCATGTCTGCTGTCCCCTTCACAGCCTTGCCTCCGGCTCTTCTTTGGAAGAGCATCCCAGCTGACTGTCCAGTCTTCCTTTCGGCCCACTCTCCTTCAACCCTTCGCCTCTTGGGGAGTGGCTTCAGTATCTCCCAGTGACCCAAAGGCAAGACCACCTATTCGGTGAACCTATGTTGAATCTCTGTGCTGTGCTAACTGGGGAGAGGAGTCAGATGCAGGCCCAGCCTTCAGTCACAACCTGCTGCCTACTCGGAGGCGTGGCATCCATGCTTCTCCCCTGCTTTCCCTGCCACCCATCCACACAAGCCCTCTGCAGCCCACAAGGCCTGTGCCCACGGGAACTAGATGTCTGCACCTTTAGGGTGTTGTCCTAGGCAGTCAGAGTGTCCTGCCCTTCCTATCCCCTTGAAGCCTGTGCAGTCTTTCCTGTCTGTCCCTGCCTGTGAGGCCTGCCCTGCCTCCACCCTAGGCCCTGTCCTGAACTCCTCCTTGTGTGGCCCTGCAGAGGCCCCCAGTTCTCTGTGACAGAGTGATAAGTCCTGTTTTCTATCCTGGGTTGACTGACTAGAGGAAGCCTCAGGAGCTGCCTTTGATACTTCTGGTGTGTGTGTGTGTGTGTGTGTGTGTGTGTGTGTGTGTGTGTTTGTGTGTGTTTGTGTGTGCATGCATGTTTGTGTGTGTTTGTGTGTGCATGCATGTTTGTGTGTGTGTGTGTGTATGTAAACCTCCACTCCCCTTCCCTCCCTCCACTAACTTTTTTTTCTTTGCCACTGCCCATAATTTTAATTTTAACTCCAACCACCAAGGCCTTCTAGAAATGTACATTTATTTATTTTTAATTTATTTGTATTTGAGAATTTCATACACCACTGCCTTCCCTACTCACCCAACTTTTCTTCTTTTGTTTAACCCATCAAGACCAGTTTGCGCTGCCCAAACAAATATTCCTGGATGTGCAGCCTTCCACTGAAACACGGTCTACTTACCAGGGGCCACACAAGGCAGGCCTTGTGTTTCTCCAAACTTTGCTGCTGGAGTCACCAGGCCCTGGTCCATTCAGGGGACATATTTGCTATTTTTGTAAAGTATACTTGTTGTATGTGGAATAATCTTGCTTATTGCCTTAGTTAACTTTAATTTTTTTTGTTTTTTTTAGAATTTATTTTTATTTCGTATGTATTTATGTTTTATCTGCACGTATGTCTGTGTGAAGATGTCAGACCCCCTGAAACTGAAGCTATAGTTATGAGCTGCCATGAGGGTGCTGGGAATTGAACCCATGTCCTCTGGAAGAGCAGTCAGTACTCTAAACTGCTGAGCCATCTCTCCAGTCTCATATATTTTAAATCATATGAGAGTATTGTGCAAGTGTGTGTGTGTGTGTGTGTGTGTGTACTTGAGGAAGTCAGATGCATCCGAGTTCCTGAATTACAGATGGCTGAGAGTCACCTGACATGAGTCCTTGGAAGCAAGGTGAGTCCTCTGGAAGAGCAACTAACTGCTGAGTCATCTCTGCAGACCCCTGTCCTCCTTAGCTTTAACTGTCATCTGGACAGTCTAGAGTCAGCTGAGAGGAAAGCCCCAATTGAGTAATTGCCTAGATCAGATTGCCTGTGGGTCTGTCTGTGAGACACTGTCTTGGTTGCTAACTGACACACGAGGGCCGGCCTGCTGTAGGCAGCACCATCTCTAGACAAGTGGTCCTGAGCTATGTAAGAAAGCTAGCTGAGGCTGAGTGAGGGGGTGAGCCAGCCAGCAGTGGTGATCTTTGCCTTCAAGTTCCTGCCCTGACCGCCCTCGGGGATGGGCCATGTGACTTGAAAGTGTAAACCAAATAATCCTTTCCTCCCTCAGTTGCTTTTGGCCAGAGTGCTTTATCGTGATGACAGAAAGGGAAGTAGTACGCTCAGCCCGTCAGAACTGTGTATAGGTTATGTAGCATCCATAAGGTCATCACCACCTCTGAGAATCTGGAAAAAGGAAATAAGACTTCCCTGGGAAATAGGTGTCACATTTAGCAAGTAGAATCATGGGAGACTGGGCAGAGAGTAGCCACCTGTGCAGTATAACTTTAGAGCGCACAGTGCCCTGGGTTCCTTTGTTAGTACCACCAAAATGGGAAAAATATGAAGTTTATTCACTTAGAATTTCAGGTGAGCAAAAAAAAATCTTTCAGTGCAAATATATCCTGTGAAATATTTGGAGCATGTTTATACCAAGAAGTCATTGATTATTTATGTGGAATTCAAATGTAGTAGAGAACCCTGGATTATATCTGGAAATCCTTAGAAAACCCAGCTTTAAAATTACTAGCACATATGGGTCAGAACAAGGAAGTGGAAGTCACCTTACGTCAAAGTAAGTCCTTCAGCAAGGTTTCATTGTAATTGGAGTAGTAGAAAAGTGTATTTACAAAAACACTTCTAATTCTCTCTTGTATAAGTAAGAATGTGCCAGTCAGGGTTGGTCAGCAACAGAAATGGAAGGTTCAGAGAGACAAACTGATCCTGGAATAATGGATCCAGGGCTGACTCAGCTTGGTCTTTGGGTTGCTGTCACAGATGTCCTTTGATGGTATACCCCAGAAGCTTTTGTGACTCACTGTAGAGGTTGCGAGTCCAAGACTGGGGTGCCAGCATGGTTATACTCTCCTGAAGGCCTCTTCCCAATGCCAGATTGCTGTGTTCTTACACAGTGAATGTCTTAGTTTGAGTTTCTATGGCTGTGAAGAGAAATCATGACCACGGCAACTTTATTATTTTGTTTTGTTTTGTTTCTCAAGACGGGCTTTCTCTGTGTAACAGTCCTGGCTGTCCTGGTACCCCACTTTGTAGACAAGGTTGGCCCCAAACTCAGAGAGATCCACTTTCTTCTGCTTCCTGAGTACTGGGATTAAAGGAGTACACCAACCAACACCTGACAACCATGGCAAACAACACTTAAGAAGGAAAGCGTTTAATTGGGACTGGCTTACAATTTCAGAAGTTTAGCCCATTATCTTTGTGGCAGAAAACACGGTGGTGTGCAGGCTGACATGGTGCTAGAGAAGGAGAAGCTGAGAGCTCTGCATCTTGATCCACATACAGCAGAAAGAGACTGTGTGCCACACCAGGCATAACTTGAACACATAAGACCTCAAAGCCCGCCCCCACAGTGACACACTTCCTCTAACAAGGCCACACCTACTCCAACGAGGCCAAATATTCAAACCACCACAGTGAGAAAAAAGAAAGAGGAAAAAAAAAAACAAGTTTGAATGCTGAGGGCTATAAGGATTATCCAACAAATCCACAGTCTGTGTTTACACAGACTGCTTGCTGCAACTTGCCCTCCCATACCTCCTGGGAACAAAGGGAACGATCTATGAACATGTATGTTCAGTCCTGCTATGTGTGTATGGTGGGGGTATATGGGGTACAGATGGCATTATGGTCTCTTTAACATCATTTTCTCTATGAGTTTGAGTAAATAAGATGAGTCTAGTCCATGCTTGCTGTGCTGGGTCACTGATGGTTATACTCAAAGTCAGTAAGTCAGTTTTATTCCAGCTAACACACTTTGAATCATGCGCAGTGTTGTACACCTCTAGTCCCAGCACTCGGGAAGCAGGAGCAGGTAGACCAGCCTGGTCTACATGGTGAGTTCCATACCATGAGAGCTACATAGTGAAAGCCTGTCCTAAAAGAAAGGGAAAAAGAAGTCATAGCATGCTAGTACATTTTGCCTTTTTTGCGTCTCTATTCCAACAAATAGGCTTAACTCGCTTCTTTGGGAAATAAGTGCACAGAACAATTTATGTAGTACGTCTTGGGGGACTTCCTCTACCTAGTGCAGTGTCTGTGGCAGCATTCTCCCAGTCACATAGCCAGAAAGGGACACAGTTGAGACTCTACTGTGCCGACCTGAGACCTGCTTTCTGCCCTCCCAACCATCAGGCCATGGAGGCAAGCTAGAAGAGCTTGAAATGTCAACAAATACCTTGACAGTAAATAAGCTGGAGGATTCTCCAGATAAGAAATCCAAATACTGAGGAGGAAGCACTGACGTCATTGCCCCTTTCCCACCCAGATCCTTGTAGAGAAACTTAATCCAGGCCAAAAGCCATGTTACAGCCATGGCTGCCCACGTAAAACAGTAAAACAGAACATTCTGGCCTTTGCGTTTTTTGGTAGTTATCTGAATTACCATTTAACATATTTTCCCCAGGCTACAGGCCAGACCGTGGACTCATCAGAGGCGCGTGAGTGTGAAATGAGGTCTAACCGGAGCGAATGAAGAAGGAGCTGTGGGGAAGGGGGCAGGAAGTGATTCTGCCACCTGCTGTTAGAGCAGCAGGCCTTTAGGGACTGCAACTGAAAACTCCCCGGGCGCGTTTGTCTCGTTCAAACGTGAATATCTTAGCTCCTGCTAGGGAACACACCAGGCCCAGAGCGCTAACCACCCCAGTGACTCACATCAACAGGCCATTCTATCAAAGAGGACTTCTGTAATTAGACTTTGTGACCAATGTGTCCAGCCACGAGGCTATGTCATGAGGCTTTCTGGCTACTGCTAGCTTCTCAGCTAAAAGAGGCAATGCTGACTGACAAGGCATCGAGTGTCTGCCGTGTTATCGTCGTAGATGGACCACCTGCTAATCCACAGCTGTAACAGCAGGGCTTACTGCCCTCTCCATCCCCTTGTTCTTCAGAGCTTCTTATTGTCTTCATTTGGGAACAAGGACCCCAGGTGGCCTGGAGGGAAATAGCTTGAGATGAGCCACCAAGGACCTGGAAGGGTCTCAGCTTGAGCCCAAGCCCCCTCTCACAGGTTCAGTGTTCTCTCCACAGGAGGCTGAGGTCTGAGCTCAGGAACATGGGGAAATAGGGGGGCTTACTCCTCACAGCGCCCCCACCCAACAAAACCACAGGGAACCTGCACCCTACTCCCTCAGGGCCCCTGCAGGTACCCGGCTGGCTGGGGACAACAGTGACCCAGAGAATCCAAAGGCGTAGTGTCAGATGGCAGAGCAAATGTGCCAGCTAAGGGTCCAAGCTGTGTCGTGACTTCATGTGCTGGGCGCCCGCTGCTCCCTCACTTGCTGCTGCCCTGGGCCAATCTGTGCTCTTCCACAGCTCAGCCCCAGACATTACTCTTTTATCACCAACACGGAAATGTCACTACTGCTTAGAATACAAGAAATAATCAGGGTTATGTATATACATACATAAATTAATGTTGACAATTAGTGCTTTTATTTATAAATTTTAATCAAATTATGTAATTTTTTGTTTGTTTGTTTTTCAAGTCAAGGTTTCTACATGTAGCCCTGGCTATCCTGGAACTCACTCTGTAGACCAGGCTAGCCTCAAATTCAGTGATCTGCCTACCTCTGCCTCCAGAGTGTTAGGCTTAAATGTGTGTGCCACAATTGCATGGTGTACCTTCCTTTTTATTTGTTCAGTGCTGAAGAGCAAACCCAGCAAGGATATAACTGGATCATGGCAGTGGGACCCCTCATGGACCCCAGAGGGTCTGGAGAGATGCTTGGAGGTTAAAAACAAGTGATACAGAAGACCCAAGTTCGGTTCCCAGGCACCCATGTAAGGTGGCTTATAATTACCTGTGACTCTAGCTCTAGGGGCCACGACACCTCTAAATGCTTCCATGGGCATACACATAACCCCCCATATACATAGTTAAAAGTAGAGATCTTACCACTTTTAACTTAAATAAATAAAAGACTTCAGACAGCTAGGTATTACCTATGAACCAGAAAGTGGAAACTGATCAGAGACCAAATAGCAACCCTTGTCAAACAACCCCTCTACAATAAGCTACATTCTCTGACCCAAAATATGTATATTTATATAGAAAACATAAAATAGGAAAATGGTGTCAGAACACATATGTATTATGTAGCCCTCATTTACACTCCCTATAATGGTTCTACTTCATATGAATAAGAAGAGGTTTATATATGAGACAGGGTTTCTCTGTGAAACAGTTTTGGCTATCCTGGAACTCACTCTGTGGACCAGGCTGGCTTCAAACTCACAGAGATCTACCTGCCTCTGCTGCCCTAGTGCTGGAATTACAGGACTGTGCTACCACTGCCCAACTATATAATTTTTTAAGTGAGTAGGTTTTTTTTAAAATATGAAACTAATGAATGCTAACTGCAGAAGAAATATAAAAAATAAAATATAAATAGCACAGAAAGTCCATCTTTTAGATGCTTTTAGCAAACATTATGCACATATCCATGTTTTTATATAACTAGTATCAAAGTTATATATTGTTCTGAAATTAAAAAAAAATTCTTTTCAAGCCAGACATGGTGGCACATACCTGTAATCCCCTCATACAGGAAGGCTGTAGCCAGAGGGTCCTAAACTTATGCCAGCCAGGCTATACGGCAAGATGTGTCTCAAAAAGCCAAACCAGAACTAAACAAAAACTGGAGACCTTGGGGACAGTTTTCTGTTACTGCAGCACAAAGTTCAGTCTTTCTAATGGCTACAGAACCTTTTGTGACATTGACTTGATTGACTTTGTTTACTGTGTGGTCATTGTCTAGTCCTCAGAATTAGAAACAGGGCTGCAGGGAGCACCCTTAAACTCAAGAGCATTGTTCTCTCTGGAGAAAGAAGTGAACTGAAAAAACAGAATGTGTGATGGCAAAGGCCCATACTGTCCCAATTTTGCTGAAAAAAATGTTTTTTCTGGGCACAAGTACCAGGAGGGACTTTGTTCTTCAGCTTGCTTTGTCCTTTTCTAGCATGCCTTACTGTCTTCCCTCACGTTGTTGGTTAAAGAAGAATTTTCTATTTTGCACAAGAAATATGCTTTTGAATTGAGCTAATGTCACATCTGATGACACACCTTCTGGTTTCCTCTTTATCACATTTGTTTCCATTCCCTGACCCAGGGTGCTCAGAACCTGCAGCCAGTGTCTGATGTAGCAAAAAAGAGAGACACCCCACCACCACCACCACCACCACCACACGCACGCACTCAGGCAGGCATTTGATGGGGGCATTGAAGACTGCCCAGAGAGTGAGTCTGAGGCAGGGTGTCATGGCTCCTGGCATAAGGCAGCCTCCTCAAACCATACAGCCTGCGTGCGAGGCAGTCCTGCTACCACATCCCTGGAGCTAGGTGGTTTTCAGCTTGTGCAGGAGAAGTTTTGAAGTGTGCCCAGGGCTAGGAATAGGAAAAACCCTGCCTACTGCTTCCAGGCGGGTGCTACTGTCTGGATTGGCTTTACACTAACCTGGCCAGCAGGCTTCCCCCACCCCCAGGAAGTCCAAAAGGACACGGAGGACGGAGGACCTGGTGTGCAGTGTTTCCATAGAGGTCACGGAGAGAGTGGGTGGCTACTTTGCGCTTGCTGAGTGCTAAGACACTTCCTCTTTCATCTGATGGGCCTCGTTCAGGCCAACACCTTCCCACCACACCTTAGAAACAGAAAAAAGGGGAACGCAAACAAAAAACCGAACCCTCAGAGGGAGCTGCATAGCAGGGAACACTGTGCTGCCACTCTGAGCCACAGCTGGGCGGGTCACTGGGGGAATCGTGGGCATCCTCCAGTGGTCACAAGGACCACTGCCCTGAAGCTTGTACACCCACCCATCCACACACCAAACCACTCACCTTTTCTCTCCTTCTGTTTGTTTTGTTTCCTGGGACAGGTTCTTGTTATACACGGCCTAAGCTGGCCTTGAATTAGGTGTAATAGCTCACGTCTCGAAGTGACATTCTTAAAGTAAAAACTAAAGGCTGCCCTCACCAGATTTGGGTTTCTGTGTATATGTACATGTTTCCAAACTTAGATGTTGAGTACAGACACGTATGTGCATATGCGTGCATCTACACACATGCATCAGGTTGTGGCAGGTTCTAGAAACTGTCAGAGGCACAGAGAATAACATGCCTCGCAGGGCATCAAAGGATGTAGTCAGGAGGCCACAGCACCAAAGGGCTCCCCGGTTGCTCAGCAATCTGAGCTTGCCCGCTGATAAGCATCTCTTTTGCTCCAGTAAACAGAAGCTGAAGTAGAACCATAACACTTGTTCTGGGAAACAGTAACTGTAGTCACAAGTCATAAATAATAAAGGAGAGAAAAATCCTCTTTTAACTTAATGGACTGAAAGATATCTTGCTTTTCATTTTTGCTAATGGCCCTTCTCCCTGGGCGCTCCCAGAGCTGGCCCATTATGGAAGAATCTGGCCTCGGTTTGCAAGCAGGGCACGGTCCTAGACATTAGCTGCGAGCAAGCTGTTTGGGACAAAAACTGTGTTGTGCTGTGTTGATGCTGTGTGGTCCCTGTGGGCTCTGAGTTTGAGGCTTCAGAGGGCAGATTCTCTGCATTGGAGGGAGAAGACAGGTCAACTCCTGTTCCTTTATACACAGCCTTCACTTAGAGCATTACAGAAACACAAGTTAAGATCAATTTTTATCAAATAATTATTTTCTATCTTCTTGCCCCCCAGTAGGGTCCTGTTTCCTGTATTACAACACCCTCCCCTTATCTGCTGTATCCACCTCTAGGCTGTTGCCCTGCTTAGGTAGTCTGTAACCCTAAATTACCCACCTGTTCCTGCTTCCTGACCAAGCAAACTTTCATTTCCTCAGGGCAGAGGACGTCAGCTACTGTCCTGAGAAAAAGAAAGACGCAGCAGGCATGAATTTATACTAGGGAGCGAATGGTTGAGAACCTTTAACCGTCAGAGTGTAGTCTCATGATTAAATAGGTTATGTAGCTGGGTGTGGTGGTTCATGCCTTTAACTCCAGTACAAGGGAGGCATAGGCAAGAGAACTGCCGTGAGTTCCAGACCCACCTGGGCTTTCCAGTAAGTTCCAGGTCAGTCTGAGCTTCCGAATAAGAGCCTGACTCAAAGAACAATAAATAAATAAATAAATAAATAAATAAATAAACAAACAAACAAAACCTATAAAATATGTAGGTTGTGAGACTTGAAAGCTGTGCAGCAGAATGGGGATGAAAAGTACGAGGTGGAGGAGGGGCTGGAGAGATGGATCGGCTGTTCAGAGCATGCTCCGTTCTCACAAAGGGCCTAGGTTTGGTTCCCAGCACCTACATCAACCGGTTCACAACCACCTTTAACTCCAACTCTACGGGATTGGTCGCCCTCTTCTGTCCTCCACAGGCACCTGCACACACGTGCACATATCTGCCCACAGACACACACATACACACAAACTAGGGATTGCAGGCTCAGACTTTTGGGCCAGTGAGGCGGCTCAGTGAGCAAAGGTGCTTACTGGGCATGCCTGAAGACCTGAGCTTGATTCCTGGGGCCCACCCTGGAAGGGAACCCACCATGGAGCGAGAGAGAATCACTTGTTTTGACCACCATACATGTGCCGCTGCATGAGCACCACCCACGGACAGCAATAATACTTTTTAAACAAATTTTTTTCAAGACAGGGTTTCTCTGTGTAACAGCCCTGGCTGTCCTGGAACTCACTCTGTAGGCCAAGCTGGCTTCGAACTCAAGAGATCTACCTGCCTCTGCCTCCCAAGTGCTGGGATTGAAGGCATGCACCACTACCACCTTGCCTTTATTTGAAGTGTTTAAAAAAGATTCACATGAAGGGCTGGAAAGATGTCTCAGAAGTTAAGGGTACTGGTTGTTCTTCCAGAGGTCCTGAGTTCAATTTCCAGCAACCATATGGGGGCTCACAACCATCCATAATGGGATCTGGTGCTATCTTTTGTCAAACAGGCATGCATACTGGCACATGGGACCGATGTAGGCATGACAGTTATGCAGCTTGGCTTGTTTGTGGGGTTCCTGGCAGTAGGATCAGGACCTGTCCCTAGCACTTGAGCTGGCCTTTGGGAACCCATTTTCTATGCTGGGTTAGCCTCATCCAGCCTTGATGAGACTTGGTGCTACCTCAACTTGGTGTCCCATGCTTTGTTGACTCTCATGGGAGGCCTGTCCTTTTTCCGAACAGAGATGGAGGAGGAGTGGCTAGATGGGAGGTAGGGGGAGGGGATGGGAGGAAGGGAGGAAACTATGGTTAATATGTAAAATTAATGAAAAAAATGATAAATGAATTTTTAAAAAGATTCAGATGGGGACACTCACACCTTAAATTCCACCACTGGGGAGGCAGATGCAAGAAGATCGCCATCAGTTTGAGGCCAACCTGAGCAACATAGTGAGTTCCAGGCCAGCCTGAGCTATGAAACGAGACCAGATCAATGACAACAGCTCAGTGGGTAAGGACACTCGATACCAAAGCTGAGGGCCTGAGCGCCTGAGTGTGGTCCCAGAGCCCATGAGGGAAGGGGAGCACTGACTCCCTGAAGTTTGTCTGTATGTTGTAGTACACGTACACACACACACACACACACACACACACACACATTTTTAAAATTCAAAAAAAAATTCAGACTTCGTCCACGTTTGTGGAACTCTCAGGCAGTTAACTGCGTGCTGTGTTTTTACAACACTGACAGTCAGGAAATTACCCTTTCCTGGAGAACCCAGGATGGCCACAGGCAAGACATTCCCACTCTGGGGCCTCCTCTCAGGGGATGAGGCCGCCCTCTGCCAGCTGCCTCTGAGACCCAGGGCATCGTCTGTAGCCCCGCCCATGGAATCCGGCGCCAGCCTTTTCTACCTCCAAATGATACCTTGGGTAGACAAGCCTCTTCACACGACAATGAGAAGTTATGACAGAAAAGAAATGGACAGCAAATATGACACGGCAGAACAAAATTTGAAAGGCATCGCGGTTCATATTCAAGAGAGGTAAGACACTTAGTCTGTGAAAACGAGACAAGGTGGTGTTGGTATGTTCGAGACACTGTAACAAAATACCATGGGTTGGATGCTCCTCGGAGTTCTGGGAGTTGGGGGACTCAAGATCAACCTGCGGGTACGTGTTGGCTGTTGTCTCCACTTCCTGGTTCATGGGCAATGTGCAGCTGTCTGGAGTCTCTAACAGGGTCACAAACCCAATTCCAGAGGGCTCCACTGCCATCATCTAGTCCCCTCCTGTACCAGCCGTGCCTCTCACTGCCGTGACCAAATGCCTGCCTGGCTACTGGAAACCTAAGGAACAATGCATTTTGGCTAATAGTTTCATGGGGCACCATGCGTATTATTTGGGGGGTGGGGCATGGCAGTTTAAGCCGGAGGCCACCGGTCACATTGTGTCCAGTCGGGAAGCAGAGAGCTATGAATGCTGGTGTTTGGCTTGACTTTATCCAGTCCAGGATCCCTGATCATGTCATGGTGCCACTCACAGTTCAGTCAGGGTTTTTTCTGCCTCACCTAGCCTAGTCAAGAAACCCCCTCATGAAGGTCTGTTTCAAAGGTGTTTCTAAAGTCTATCAAATTAACAATCAAGATCAACTACCAACTTGGCAGAACTCTACCTGGCTCTGCCTCCTGGAGTGCTGGGTTTAAAAGTGTTCAATGCATTTTTTTTTTTTTTTTGGTTTTTCAAGACAGGGGTTCTCTGTATTATTTTGGAGGCTATCCTGGAACTCCCTCTGTAGCCCAGGCTGGCCTCGAACTCATAGAGATCCACTTGCCTCTGCCTCCTGAGTGCTGGGACTAAAGGTGTGTGCCACTAACACCCGCCCCAATGCAGTTTTTTAATAGCCACAACAACATGTCATGCAATTAAAAAAATAGTAGCAAATTTGAAGAGAGGCATGATGACACATACATGTGATCTTATCATCCAAGAGGTTGAGGCAGGGGGATCGTTGTGAGTCTGGGGCCAGTCTAGGGTACACAGTAAGTCCCAGGCCAGATGTGGCGCTAGTCTGGGTAGGGAAGAATTCACTCACGTGATGTCAACCACATAGTATACTATGTACCCTCTGGCTATAAGGGATCGTGAATAATTTCTGAACGCTCATTGGCAGGACTATGTGTCTGCAATGATATGGATTAGTTATTCTGAAATGACTCTCAGTGCGCATTGTACCACAGAGTAGTTAAATGCAGAAGCAAATTATGAATAATGAAGGCCGACTTTTCATTACCAGGGAGGGGGTAGTACATATGGGAAACATGGAAGCCAGCAGGAACACTGAGTCTTCGGAGAGATTGGTGGGAATTCCCAGTGAAGGTGTCCTCCTGTGACTAAGTTTGTTCATTTAGAAATACACACCGGAGTACTTGGAAGTAAAGGAGCATCATGTCTACAGCTGATTTGAAAATGGCTCAGGAAGGGGGAAAATGCGGTCATTGGGGAGAGATCTGGCGGGAACGGGAGAGGCTCAGAGAGGCTCACGGGGAAATAGGACCAAAGAACATTATGTAAGTATGAAATTTGGAAAGAATAGATTTTTTTTAATGTCAAGAGGAGTTAAAGAGAGATGCAATGAAGACGTTCACAATCGGGGACTCCGGAGGGTAAGAGTATATGAAGATGTTTTAAAGTTGCTATTTTTGCTAGTCTTCTGGGAAGCTAAATTTTCATTTTTAAAACAAGGCCTTAAGCCGGGCGTTGGTGGCACATGCCTTTAGTCTCAGGAGGCAGAGGCAGGCGAATCTCTGTGAGTTCGAGGCCAGCCTAGTCTACAGAGCGAGTTCCAGGACAACCTCCAAAAAAATATAGAGAAAACCTGCCTTGAAAAAATAACCAAAAACAAAACAAAACAAAAAAACAAAAAGAAAAAACAAAAAACAAGGCCTATGTAGTCCAGGCTGGCCTGGTATTTGCTATATACACCAGACTGACCTCCAATTTAAAGATGCTCCTGTCTTTGCCAACAAGGATTAGCAGGTGTGTACCCGAACTTTAATTATTTAAAAACAAAGTTTGGGTTGGCCTGATGGTTCATAACTGTAACTCCAGTGCTCGGAAAAGGGAGACACGAGCCCATGGTCATCTTTTGCTACATAATGAGTTCAAGGCCCGCCTGGCTAACATGACACCCTTTCAAAATAAACCGCTTTGTCAACTTGGTAAAGGCAGTTTGGTTAAGTACAACACGAATGAACCTTGTTATAATAGCTGCCACAAGGATAATTCGAGCAGAGTTTGGGGGTGGGTGGGTAGGAGGAAGGGTACAGAGAAGTGGGGTGTGAGGTCCTTAACTCCCAAGGATGATATAGGATGTTGACAAGGTAGTGACATTTCCTGGTCTGACTGTGCGCGGTGCCTGAAGCGCTCAGACATGAAGGGGGCCGGAAGCAGGAGACCCTGAGCGCTTCAGGGGCTTCCCCAGGAAGGCTCCTGGGGTCCGAGCTCGAAGCTCTTAGTTCCCCGGTTTTGAAAGGCTACCCTAGGCCTCACGCCCTGGGGCTCAACCCTGCTTCCTGACAGCCGGTAAGGCCACACGACAGTCGCGCCAGCCAACCAAGAAGGGAAAGTCCAGCGGGTGATGTGTCAAGCCGCGGACACGGCTGACTTACTTGGATTCGGTGGTTGAATTACGCAGGCTCAGCCCACGGGTCACTGAACCCCGACAGGTGGTGGCCCCCGTAACCCTGCACCGCCCGCGAGGAGCGGGCCGCGGCGCCCCCGCGAGGGCAGGCGGAGGAACGGCGACGGCTGGGGATTGTCGCCCTCTAGCTTCAGTTCACACCGAGAGCAAGCAGCTGGCGCCGCGACACAGGGCGAGCGCTGAGAAATGGGGCGGGGCCTCCTGGAAAACGGGGCGGGGCCAGTGTTTGGGGCGGGGCCTTAGGAGGGAAGAGTACGGTTAGGGGGCGGGGCGATGGCCGAGGGGCGGGAAGGAGCATGGCCCGTGGGTGGTGCCGGAGGGGCATCCGTGATTGGGCGTGGTGCGCCGGTGCGAGACGCATGCGCACAAGAACCGCCGTGGGAGCGAGAGGGCGGCCTAAGGGCCTGTCCGGTTGAGGGTGGTATGATGGAATCGGCAGGGCTGGGCAGAGAAGGAGGGGGAAGGTCTTGATCTCTGGGGAGGGGCGGATGTGGGAGGGATGGTTGCAGCGGAAGCAGAGGGGACCTGGGGGCGGGATGTCCCCTAGGAACGACGCCGGCTTTTCCGGTTGCTCCCCGGGGAGAAGTGGCGAACCCTGAGTTCCGGGGAGGTCCCCACAACTCACCCAGGCGGAGACTGGGTTGTGTCTGTTAACAACTAGCATGTCTGATGAGACCCGGTTTGCACAGGATGTGTGTGGGGGGGGATCCTAGGCCCCCAGCCCACTGCCTGACTCTAAAATTCCTCCCTGCACACTTGCTCAGCGTCACCGCCCACATTGGCCTAGGATGTGGGGGCCTTCCGACCTTCCACTGTGCCCTTTTTATTAGGGCGAGGGCGCCTGCCACACCCCTTTGCCAGACATGTGTGTCCTTAGAAAACCCTAAGTGGGAAAAGCACCTGGAGACGTCTCCTTTATAAAGGTAGGTAGACTACAGAGGGCCACGTTTGTTTTTGTATTTCATCCTGTGAAACTAAAATTTCATCCCAAAATGTGTACCGCATTAACAACTTAGCCTGTGCAGGCCTTTTCAGTCTAGAGACTGCGCCACCCTCTTGTGCCCGAGGATTCAGAAGTGAGCACGGGTGTTAGCTTACACTTCAGAGTCATTTGTCTGTAAACGAAAAAACCCTTAGGTAATTAGAAGACACAGACTGGACAGAAATCCTCATCTCTTCTTTTCTGTTCTAACTCGAAAAGCCTCGTGGTGGAACATCTGTTTGACCAGTTCAGCGGAAGGATGAGCGCGCCACATAGGGACTCGATATGAATGGAAAAGGTCCGCCAACGTGAGTCTCTTAGTCATCTTAGGTCTTCCCCGGTGTTTCATAACTGACATGAAAAGCTTAAGGGGCTGAGATGTATCTTGCCAACCTGCAGTTAAATTACAGAGCTGGGCACTGACATTACTTCTCCTGTTACAGAATATCCTTGAATAACATCCGAAGGGATAGGTCGTTCATGTGTCCCAAATGGAGTCAACTCAGAACACTGTGATTATTGTTAAATGACAGAGGACACTGGACTCTCCGGGTTACCTCTAGTTTTCGTTGTGGTTGTTAATTACTGTTTTTGAGACAGGTGGTTTTTCAACTTGCAGCCTCCTGCTTCTGTCTCCTGAATGTTGGATTTGCAGGTGTCCCCACCGTGCCCAACTTATCAATATAATAGTTCTTGGAGTGGGAGCGGCGGGTTCTGTAAGTGATGGAGGATGGATTGAATGTTTTAAATTCCTTAGATACTGATTGGATGTGGGGAAACTACTCCAGTGTGACATTTGGAGACATTGGCAATAGGTTACTTATTCTGGAAACTAGAGGTGTAACTGAAGGACAGTCCTTATGAATGAATGAATTTTATATGTCTTCTTAGTTTTTAAAAATTTTGTTTTGTTTTGTTTTTGTTTTTGAAGATAGTGTTTCTGTGTGTAACAGTCCTGGAACTCACTTTGTAGACCGAGGCTGGCCTGGAACTCCCACCTGCCTTCGCTTTCCCCGTTCTGGGATTAAAGGTGTGCGCCACCACCTCTGTGTTTTGATTCTCTGTCTCTCTCTCTCTTTTGGCAGATGCAGGTACTCCAGCATTCTGAACACACACTAAAAAAAGCTCTCATCTCTAAGAACCCAGTGCTTATGTCGCAGTATGAGAAGTTAGATGCTGGGGAGCGCCGTTTAATGAATGAAGCCTTCCAGCCATCCAGTGATCTCTTTGAACCTATTACTGTGCATTCCAAGTCTGATTGGATTACCTCCCACCCTGAAGACCCCCAAGATTTTGAGCAGTTTTTCACCGATCACAACAGAAAAGCACCCTGTCCAGAGAAACACATTATCTATATGCAGTCCATTGGTGCGTCCTGGGAATGCGGTGGTTGGGGTTTGGCTTTGCTGTGGTGCTGTTGACCAAATTCAAGTGACCAATTTTTATTTAATTTTTTTTTTTGGTTTGGTTGGTTTTGTGTTTGTTTTTGCTTATTGTTTTTCAAGGCAGGGTTTCTCTGTGTAATAGCCCTGGCTGTGGCACTCATTTTGTAGACCAGGTTGGCCTTGAACTCAAAGAGGTCCTCCAGCTTCTGCCTCCCTGAGTCCTGGGTGTTCACCACCATACCTGGCTTCAAGTGAGCAATTTTTTATGGCTTCTGATTTTTTTTTCTTTTTTAGTGCTGGGAATTGAACTCAGGGCTCTATGTGTGCTAGGCATTTATCATATGTGATAATTTGTGTGCGTGGTGTGGGAGGGGCCACGTGCTGCAGGACAGCTTTTGTAGAGTTCATTCTCGGTTTCCAGTGCGCATGTCAAGTGTGCAGCAAGCACCTTTCCCTCCCGGCCGTCTTACTGGCCCTGTGTATGATTGCTATTGACGCTCCTTCCAGCGGTAGGAGTGTTGTAGCCAGACTGGCTCAACAGCGAAATTCTTTCCTCTTGACTTCATGTTGTCATCAATGACTGGTTAAGAAGTATTGAGGTTTCAGAGTGGATTCTGTTTTCGATTCCAGACAGTTTATAGAATAAGGTGAAGACTTTCCATCATTTTAAAGTTTGTCTTAACTTCCTGCCCTTCCCCCATCCCGTAGGTTCTCTAGGCAACACCAGAGTTATCAGTGAAGAGTATATTAAATGGCTCAAGGGCTACTGTGAAGCATTTTTCTATGGTTTGACCGTAAAATTCTTAGAACCAGTTTCAGTCTCTGCCACGAAGTGTTCTTTCAGAGTGAATGAGCACACACAAAACCTACAAATCCATGCAGGTAAATGAGCCTTAGCAGTTGGAATGTAGCAGAAAGGATGTATGCATATATGTCATAAATATTATTCCTGCATTTCTTTTCAAATAGGGCATATCCTGGCATTCTTGAAAAAGAAGAAACCCAAAGATGCCTTCTGCATTGTGGGGATAACAATGATTGATCTTTACCCACGGGACTCCTGGAATTTTGTCTTTGGGCAGGCCTCTTTGACAGATGGTAGTCTTTTTTGATACTATTTTGATATTGTTCAGTGTGAGGGTGTTTGAAGATATGCAGAGAGTTGGAAAAAGAATTCCATCCAGTAGTGTTTTCAAATATTTAGAACTGTATGTCCCGTGACATTCCGTGTGTGCTATAGTGGGAAGTGTGTTTTGAAAGACTGATGATATGGGATCCTCTTCAGGAGGCCACATCTCCCTACCTGACCTTGAAGTGATGATGCTTTTCTCACAGAGTCATTTGGAGGTCATTTGTGTAACAGTTCCTACCCGTAGTGCTTGAGACGCCTGTACATACCCAGACGTTTCAGCTCAGCATCTGGGGACCAGCAAGACAAACAACTTAAGGAGATTTGAGCTGTCATTAACATATGTAAACTCTTGCTAATTCTTTTCCTGTGTGTGTGTATGTGAGAGAGAGAGAGAGAGAGAGAGAGTGAATGAATGAATATGAGACTTCAAAGCCCACCCTCACAGTGACACTTCCTCCAACAAAGCCACACCTCCTAATAGTGCCACTTCCTATGAAGCTTGTGGGGACCAATTGCGTTCAAACTACCACATATCCCTAGTCCTTGCTAGCTGATTTTGCACTTTTGATCAAGCACAGATAGAATAGCCATAAATAAATATGTAAGTACATATTTTCTTTTTCAACTTACATTGGTTTTATTTTTCCTTAAGGTTTGTGGGCGTAGCTCAGTGGTAGAGTGCTTGCCTAGAAAACCAACTTTGGGCCACATGTGGTAGCATAGCCCTCAAATGGAGCACTTCAGAGGTGGAGGCAAGAAAGAGAACCAGGTGTTCAAGGGTGGCCTCAGCTACCTAGTGAGTTTAGAGCCTGCCTGGACTACAGATACCCTGACCAAGCACACACAGCAACAAGAAACCGAAGTTCTTGCTGGGCATTGGGGCTCATGTCTGTGATTTCATCACTGGGGAGGCAGACGCAGGCAGACCATAAGTTTAAGGCCAGTCTGAACTGTACAGCAGTCAGTATTCCATCAGGAAAAAAAAAAAAAGATGACAACGGAGAAGAAAACCAACCTGGACTTGGGACATATAAACTTTAACTCATTAGAACCTCCTGGCAATATTAGGAGGGACCTGAAAGTGAGTCAGTGTCTTTCTTTCTTCCCTCATTTCTGTAATTTATTCTTTCCCCCTAATTTTTGCTATTCTCTGTCTAACTTCACACACATGCACGCTCACACACACGCGTGTGCACACACACACACACACACCCTAGGATTTAAGGCAGGTTGGGAGGGGAAAGGCCAGTAAACTAAGGGGAATGGGGTATTAGTGCCCTAGGAGGGGGCAGTGAGAACCAAGGGCTTGAGAGAAGAGGGCTGGTGGTCTGTCTGGATTACACAAGGCTGGGGCTTACCCTGTCAGATGTCTGTGTCAGATGTGGGGCTAGGCTAAAGCTTCTCTCATTACCTCATCCTCAGTGCTCCATCTCCCCAGGTTCTTGATCACACCCCTGGATCCTCCCAGCATGCCCTGTTGAGGTCTTGAGTTACGTCCTGCTATGTGTTTTTAATCCTGATGTCTCCTTTTATTAACATGACTGAAATGAAAACATTGAAAATAAATATGCAAAACAAGTATTCGTTGACCTAGACACCATTAGTAAATTATTATATGCATTTGAGGAGAGTGGGTCAAGAAACATTATCCAAACTGTTTCTATTTGAATTATTGTGGTGGGGGGAGGTTAAGTTTTAAAAATATTACTTGACATAAAACGAGGCATGTCAGGATAGCAGTTGATCTGATGTGAAATGAGTGTATTTCACCACAAGTGACCTGGTTGTCTTTATGATTAAAGACTTATTTTTAAACAGAGGAACATTTAAAATATTATGGCTGAAGGGATCACATGAAATAGGTTCACACTTGTTCAATCAAAGCATGCCACTTGTGATAAGTGATTAGATTTGCTTTTCCTTTTAGAATACTCTTTCTCTAATTTTCAAGTATCAGTCTGCAGTTGCTGAGGGTGAGGTGAGGAACACTCTTTTGAATCAGGTTGAATTAGACCAGATTACTATGAGTTTACTTACTTATAAATAAAGAGCTCCTGAGCTCGGTGTTAGAGGAGTTTATGGTGTGGCTAGGGCCTTAACTTGCTTCCCAGCAAAACAGAACAAAGCAAACAAACAAACAGCCATACAGGGGGAGCACTGCTTCACGTGCTTGAGTTTCTGGTTCTGAACCCTAGTAACACATACAAATTAATTAATAGTAACAATTTTAAAAGATAGAATTAAAAGCTCCTTGTTGGTGAGCAGAGTTGTGGAACAGTTGCTGACTGTGAATTAGGTATCAGACAACTCTCCACTCTCACAGAGATGGTGTATATGCCTCTGCTGTCACACACAGGAAGTCAGTCACAAGGCTGTATATTCTGGTCACCTGTCACCAGCCTCTTGATAGAGTCCTGCTGTGCTTTAAAAAGGAAGTAGGGGGAGGGAAGAGGCTCTTCTCTCTGAAGACTCTGTCTCCAGACAGGAGGGACAGTGGGTGCTACCATAGGGAAAGCCAGAAACTTCACTGGTGTGTGAGGCAGAAGTCTGCCCTTGTGCTCCTGATCCCAAAATAGTGACTGCTTGTTATGCCATTGTTTACCACGGCTCTTCTGGAATACTTGACTTGAACTATCCCTGAGTAAAGACAGAAACTTCCACTTTCTCTAGAATTTAACCATTGTTTGATGCTTCTAGATTTCTTATATATGCTTTTATTAGCATATCTTAATTATATGTAATAGTGGGATTCATGACTTTTCACACATGTGTATGATATACTTAAATCAAATTCACCTTCCCATCCCCTGTTCCTCCCACTTTTGTTGATAGTCCTTCTCAAATAGTCCCCCCTCCCCAGTGAATCAGTGAATTTAATATGGCTACCTATAGGAGCACATAAGAGGGCTCACTAAAGGAGCACAGACACTTTAGCTATGACTACCCGGGTGAAGAAAATGTCACTTCCCTCCTCCAGCAGGTCCTCAGTGAGGGTCCTGGACCTGGCCCATCCTTTTCCCTGCATTGAATTTCTGGGGCAGTTGGTTGGCAGGTAAAGATCTCAATAGGGAAGTCTAAGACAAAAGTTGTTTGTGTTGGCAAATCTCTTAAGTATTTCCAGTGGTGTGGTGTCAGTCCTGATATGCACTGACTGACCAGATGTGTAAACAGCCATCCTTGGGCTTTGCTTTCTGTATCTTAACCTGGTGAAAAAGATAGCTTGTCTTCTTTTTGTAGGCGTGGGGATATTCAGCTTTGCCAGGTACGGCAAGGATTTCTACAGCTCACGGTATGAAGGCAAAGTGAAGAAGGCCCAACGAACATCTTCCAGTGACTATTCCATATTTGATAACTATTACAATCCTGAAGTCACTAGTATTTTGCTGAGGCGATCCTGTAAGGTAAGTTGCTTTGAAAAAAAATTTTTTTAAGATAGAAATTTTACTTTTCCCAGGATTATTTGTAGGTTTTTCCTCTTAGAAATATATGTTCCAGTATGTTTGAAGGGCCCCATCAACCCCTATGCTCATCAGAATCGCTTGGTGTGCTCAATAGTACGAAAGATCTACTGAACCCACATCTGGAATGAAGGAGCCCAGAGTCTGAACTGCTAGGAGCCTATGGCCTAAAGCAGACTTACTATCCTCCTGCCTCAGCATTTCATGTACAGGGATGACAAGCATGCACTCCCGATTTTGATAGTCGCAAGTACAAACTCATTGTACCATCACCCAGTGGGTAGAACTCACTGGTGAGGGGTCCCACACATGGAATCAGCCAGCCAACATATTAGCTGCCCCAAGCTGAAACCCTGGTCTGGGAATGTAATGAAATGACCATTACTAAGTGTAGAAGAGCTGGGCAGAATGAAATTTTGGCTGTTGATGGCTGTACTGGCTGGGTTTGTGTGTCAACTTGACACAAGCTGGGGTCATCAGAGAAAGGAGCCTCAGCTGAGGAAGTGCCTCCATGAGATCCAGCTATAAGGCTTTTTCTCAATTAGTGATCAATGCGGGAGGGCCCAGCCTGTGGTGGATGGTGCCATCCTTAGGCTGCTGGTCCTGGGTTCTGTAAGGAAGCAGGCTGAGCATGCCATTGGGAGCAAGCCAGTAAGCAGCTCCCCTCCATGGTCTCTGCATTAGCTCTGTCTTCAGGTTCCTGCCCTGTTTGAGTTCCTGTCCTGACTTCCTTCAGTAATGAACAACAATACTGAAGTATAAGCCAAATAAACCAACCCTCTCCTCCCCAACTTACTTTTTGGTCATGGAATTTTGTCACAGCCATAGAAACCCTAAATAAGATAATGGCAATGGCGTTGATTCCTTTAAATCTGTTTGTGAGGAAAAAGCGTTGTGTAATTGCTAATGGTGGTACCATAATGCAGTGACATAAATGTCTTGCAGACTTTAACCCATGAGATCGGACACATATTCGGACTGCGGCACTGCCAGTGGCTTGCGTGCTTAATGCAAGGCTCCAATCACTTGGAAGAGTCTGACCGGCGTCCTCTACACCTTTGCCCTATCTGCTTACGCAAGCTGCAGTGCGCTATCGGCTTCAGTATTGTGGAGAGATACAAGGTGAGTGGGGAGGGCAGCGAAGGGAAGGAAAGTGGTGAGCTAAGCGGCAAACAGCGTTTTCTATTAGGTCTTTGAGAGCCATGATTTATCGGAGGAAATTAGGTAAAGACAAGCAGGAAACTGTGGTCTTAAAAAAATGTAAAGAGGGCAGGCAAGATGGCTCAGGGGTTAGATCCTTTGCTGCCTTGCCATGAGAGCGTGAGGACCAGAGTCTGGGTCCCTAGGACCCACATAAGTGCCCACCTATAATCCCAGTGCAAAAATTGTCCTCTGGCCTCTACACTCATGTCATCCCTGCCTCTCAACAGTATAAATGTTTCCTTATGGTGACTCACACCTGTAATCCCAACACGCAAGAAACCGAGGCAGAAGGGTTGCTCTTATTTCAAAGCCAGCCTGGGCTGTTGATTGAGATCCAGTCTAAAAAGGAACAAAAAGAAACTTCAGTTTATGACTGAAACAGTGGTTCACCCAGTAAGAGTACCCACCATTCTTGCAGAGGACCTGAGTTTGGTTTCCAACATCCATACAGTGGCTTACAATCACATAAAACTCCAGTCCCAAGAGATCCCCAACATCCTCGGAGGGCACCAGGCATACAGGTGGTACACATACATATATGTAGACAAAACACTCATAAAGATAAACTTTAATTTGACAATGACTGTCTTTTTTTTTTTAGATTGACTTATATATGTGTGTGTGTGCCCTCTAGGCCAGAGGGGCTTGTCTGATTCCTTGGAGGGACAGGCATTTGTGAACCACCTGATGTGGGTGCTGGGATCCAAACTCAGGTCCACTGAAAGAGCGGTACATCATCAACTACCGAGCCATCTTTCCATCCCTGATAGTGACTGTTTTATCCTTACCATTCACTGAGAAATGGTCAAAGGAATTTATCTGTTTCAAGTCCAGTTAGACGAAGGAGTGACTCTACAGTAGAAATGCATACTGATTTGTGTGGTAGAGTTCACCTTTATAAGCATGTAACTGTGTGACTGTGATTTTCCAAATATGTGACAGGCACAGGGTCTGTTAGAAAAGAATGGATGTCTTTAAGAAGGAAGAGAGACAACTCCCGGCTGTGTGCACGCATCAGGACACATCCTGGCGGCTACTTCTGTGTCCTACTTGTGGTCTGCCTGCTCATGCAGGGACAGCACTTGAGTATCTCCATCCATCCATGTCTCCACGCACACATGCCTGCCCTTGCCTTGGGTATAGTTATGTTGATATGTACATGTGCATTAAGCTAAAAGCACGGCACAGTGCCTTAGAGAATAAGCTAATTGAGAAAAGAAATATCTTGTTATTCTAAAATAGTGTAGAATTCGTATAGTTTTTTCCTCTGCATATTTTTTGTTGTTGTTGGGTTTTGTTCGCTTGTTTGTTTTTTGAGGTGGAGTGGTGTTGATAATGTAGCCCAGGTTGGTCTGGAATTCACTGGGTAACCCAAGGTGGCTGTAAACTTACAGCGGTCCTCCTGACTTAGGCCTTTCTTACATTTTTGGTTGTGAGCCTAGCCTTTAACAGCTGAGCCGTCTCTCCAGGCCAACTGAGGCCTTTGTGAGTGTTGAGATTAAGACAGGAGTAACCAGACCCAGCTCCTGTGTACCTTTGACCGTAGTTTTAGGTTATGTTCTCTATATTTTTGGTCTATGCTGTTTCTCTCGGTGTCACTCATGTCTTGTACTCATAGCCTGCCCGCTCCATCAGATGCAGACTGTTCATGGGTGGGGGGCACAAACCAGGATTTGGAAAGCCTGGCTCTAATGCCAGTGATTGTGCCTGAGGAGACGGTTTTGCTGTTATGTTATTTGTTAAAATGCAGTGTTTGTGCTTTTTCAAGGCACTGTTGAGGTGGATCGATGATGAATCTAACGACACATCAGGAGCAGCTCCCAAAAATAGTTCTGACCAGGTGAATTTGAAGAAACCTGTGGAAGCTTTTAAGGATTGGAGAGAATGGATAATAAAATGCATTGCTGTTCTGGAAAAATAAGGACTTTCAGATGGGAGTAACCGAAATAAGTACTGGCACACTAGGTGTTTGTGGGTAGAGTACTTCATTGACATAAACCATCTCCTGGCCTATGCTGAGGTCAGGTAACAGACTAGAAGCTTCTCTGAAGCCCCTGGATCAGAATAAGGTTCACCGAGAACAAGGAAAACTCTCTCTGCTCTCCTCTCCTGTCTCACTAGCTTCAGATTGGATTAGCTGAAGCTAGAAGGTAAATAAATAAATACTTTAAAAGTGGCTATCTGTGTGGCCCAAGGAATGAATGAACACTTTCCAGGGTTGCTTTTGCATGGGGAAGAGATGCCGCCCTTGTGTGGCACAGCTGAGTCTCCAGGGCTGCGAACTTGACCGGCTGCTTAGCGTCCTTGCTGCTGCAGCCTCCCCTTCTGACCCATGGGTGCCCTTCATTCTTTCCTGACCATCTATGCCCCTGCCCCTGAAAGCAGCAACAGGTTCCATCAGTTCTTAGCAGTGAGAACAGCAGTGGTGTGTGTGTGCGTGTGCGTGCGTGCGTGCGTGTGTGTGTGTGTGTGTGTGTGTGTGTGTGTGTGCGCGTGCATGTGTATGTGTGGGGTGGGTTGCTATAGCACCACTCTGGGCTCTAACTGATGTGTCATGTCTGAGGGCCTTTACAGATACTTTGCAATGGTGCTTATGTCTGTGTAGGTCACACTCATTCTGTAGGGTTAGGTGAGACTGAGGTTTATGTTTCGCCCACTTTATTGCATTATGACGTGCTTGAATAAGGAAGGGAGTCACTGGGTTACTTACCTGCCAGGATGTCCAGAATGCCTGTGGTGTCCTGTCAGCCATGACAGCGGTCGGTGGCTGTGGTGATGAGCAGCTTCAGGGTCAACAGATCTGCTCTGTCAGTGTATCTTGAAAACAAGAAGTTACTGCTACTTCATGCCAGTGAACTGGTAGCTTGTCCTACTTGTTACCTATTTATAGCATTGGCTTTTGTTTGTTTCATTTTGTTGTTGTTTCTCTTTGAGACTGGCTGGCCTGGAACTCAATATAGACTAGGCTGGCTTTGACTCATAGAGATCCCCCTCCCAACAGCTGGGATTAAAAGGATGTGCCACCACCTCTGTGATCCTGGGGTTTGACCACGGCCTTGCTCATACTTAGCACTCTACAGTTGAGTGGCATCCCCCGGTCCCCAGTCTCCCACTTCCCTATCTTTAAGGTAAGACTTAAATTCCTTCCTTCTCCTCTCTTTCATTTTCTTTTTCTTCTTTTCAAATGGTGAAGAACGACGGCAGGTGTCATTCCTCAGGGATCAGGTCAGGCAGGCTGTCTGGTGAACCTCAGGGCCACCTGCCCGTTTTTCCTCCCCCCACCCTGTGGGTGCTGGGTGTCACCCTTGGGCCTCTGTTTACATGGCAAGTACTTTACTGACTGAGCTATTTCCAGCTCCCTTTTCCCATTTGAAATCTAAATTCTTTCTTCGTTGTAACTTGCACAGTATAATTAAAAGCATACCTGACAACCAAACCAGTGGTTTTCCTTCGATTCACTTGCTTGGCTAAAGTCCTTTTATCAGTTCTGAAAATGGCTGCTTATCATTGGCATCAACTGAAGACTGTTCACGGTTGTTCTAATACTGAAAAGAAGCAGATGGGTTTCACAGGTCTTGTTTAATTCTTCCTTAAATAATTACTCCTAATCATTCCCCATTCTTCCACATTTTGTTTAATTTTCCTACTAGGTAAATGCAGTTCTCCTGTGGGTCAACATTAGTCATAAACCTAGAGTAGAGATTTGCCTAGGTTAAAAGGTTGGGAATAAGCCTGCTGGTGGTGGCTCACGCCTTTAATCCCAGCACTTGGGAGGCAGAGACAGGTGGATCTCTGAATTCAAGGCCAGCCTCGTCTACAGAGTGAGTTCAGGGCAGTCTCCAAAGCTTCAGAGAAACCCTGTCTCAAAAAAAAAAAAAGTTGGGGATTGTAATTATCTGAACAAGATAAGTCCATGTTAGCCTACTCTGCTAAGGAGCCAGGAATAAGAACTTTTGGAAGAAAAGTTGATGAGAACGGGACTGAACAACTAGACTCCCATAACAACATTCATTAAGCAGTCTTCACTAAGTGCAGTTGTAACAAATTAGATCATATGCACTTTTGGAGAATTGTTTAGGATTAACTTAAAAAATACAATTTAGGGGCTGTCGAGCTGGCTCAGCAGGCGAAGGTGCCTGCCATCAAGTCTGAAGACGGGAGTCTGACTTCTGGGACCTGCATGCTAGGCTCTCCCTAGTTGTCCTCTGGCTTAATGCACGATGTAACATGTGCTCACCAGTAACAATGGAGAGACAGAGAGACTGAGGAGTATGTGCCATTTACCATATCTGCAGCTCAGCAAGGAGAGCCTGGGCTGAAAGTGCAAGGCGCACACTCTACACCAGCCAGGACTTCAAGCAGGTTTTGCTCTGCACATGCTCAATGAACATGACGTTAAACAACCGATGAAAATAATTTCCCAGGCTGGAGAGATGGCTCAGTGGTTAAGAACACTGCCTGGTCTTGGAAAGGTCCTGAGTTCAATTCCCAGCAACCACGTGGTTTGGTGCCCTCTTCTGGCCTTCAGGGATACATGCAGGCAGAACACTGTATACACGACAGATCTTTAAGAAGGAAAAAGAAAATAATTTCCCAATATCTAAATACCGCCTTAGAAATCAGTGAGTTTGAAAACCACGTTTTATGTCACGTGTCCTATTCTTTGACTTCAAGAGATCTCTCTCTCTCTCTCTCTCTCTCTCTACACACACACACACACACACACACACACACACACACACACACCAAGCGATAGCAAACGTTGACATCTCCGTACATGAGAACTTAACAGGAGCAGGATTTTTGTCCACTCTGTACTTGTCCCTTCATTTTTTTCATTCCTACTGGTTCTGTGGGACCAGGTCTCACCATGTAGTTGAGGGTGGCCTTGATCTGGTGTCCTTCTATCTCAGAGCCTCTCCAGTGTGCCCCAGGCATGCTTTTCGAAGCAAACACCTCCCTGACACAGGACCATGACTCATCTCAAACCCCTGGAGGAGCGGAGGGCCGGGGTTGTTGGTTGTTTCCTCTCCGAAGCCCGAGTGACAAAATCCAAGCAGGCAGCGGCGGGACTGCTATAGCCGTCAATCGGGCCCTTCCCGGGCAGGAAGCGCGTCGTTGTCCCCAGCTGCGCCCAGGAGCCATCCCTCCAGCGGACAGCTAGTGGCGCGGGCGGGCGACACCTGTGACCGCCCCTGGGAGGAAAGTGGAGTCAGCCGGCAGCCGGCAGCCTGGCCTGCAGGGCGTCAGGAACCCAGGTAAAACACCGAAGCTTGCAACCCTCTGCGGCGGCCCCCACACCCACACCCCAGCCTTGGACGGTCTGCATGCCGTGGCACCTGAGCCGTGGGTGGAATCAGTTCTGGGTCAGAGCTCTT